ACAGCTTCAAGTGGTGACTTGGCTAAGTTACAAATGAATAGCCTGAGCATCTGGTTTCTTATTATCGCTCTGAATAAGAAAATTAATGAAAATAAAACAAAACTATGTACTGAGTGTTTTGGTGATAGCAGACCTGTAAGTTTCTAGAAAAAACATGCAATTGTTTTACTCTCTTCCTGCATTTCTTGTTCACAACCTCCTCATTATTTGGTATATATATATGTGTGTGTGTGTGTGTGTGTGGGAATTGTTAAATTGAATCAGTCATTCAGAAAATTGACCCACCCATCTTAACCATCATTAAAAAATTCTCCACTGCTAGATCTGCATTGGTTGAAAACCCATGAAAAAATGGTTGGATCTACAACCAATGATGATGAATGGGTTGATCTAGTAAATGCATGGGTTAATTTAGCAATTTCATATATATATATATATATATGAGCACTAGTTTTTGTTTTTGTGTCGTTGATGAAAAAAAAAGTTTGTCCACCTTAACAAATTCCATTTGTATAGTTTTTGCACACTTTCTTATACAACTTTCCACTCATTGTTTTTAGAACATGTTTTTTTCTTTTCTTGTCAATACTTGATTCTATTTGGAGCTATTTCAACTTTTGGATAAGAAATTTCTTAGATTGTAATACGTAAGTAATAATTAATCAATCTATAGATTCAAAAATCATCATTTCTTTGTACTATTTTCAATGTTATGCTTTTGAATGTAAAAATACATATATGGAATTGTTAAATTTACCTAATTATTTATCAAATCAAACCACCCATCCTAACCATCATCAAAAAGGTCTCCATTGTTGGATCCGCATTGGTTAAAAACCAATATAAAAATGGTAGGATCTACAACCAATGATGATAGATAAGTTGATTTAGTGAATGCTTGGGTCAATTTAATAATTATTTATATGTATGTATGTATGTATGTATATATAATAGAAGTCAACGTGACACCTCCTTAAATTCCCATGGTTAATTTCGTCCCTAATCTCTTGATTCCAACCCATGTCTCCCATCCTTAATCCTTTGTTTTTGTGAGGGTGTTTTTGTTAACTCCCTCTCTCTCTCTCTCTATATATATATATATATGTATATATGTTTCTTTAATTTCTCCATTAAATATTTTTCTTTAATAAAAAAATCCAATTTATTAATTAGAAAGAATTACAATACATAATCAGCATATTATGTATAATGCATTACTTATTACTCATATTACTCAACAAGCAAAGGCCCACCATTGTAGATACACAGAAAGAGACAAAGGAGATGCAAGGATCAACAGTGAAGGAGAGAAGCGAACATTGAGAGTGAGTGAGTGAGTGAGAAGAAGATAATTTGGAGCTCTCCCATTGGCATCTCAAAGCCCCAAAAGAAAGAATGGACCAACCCCAGCTCACAAAAGGATGTGGGCGAAGTATTATGCTCTTCGAAACAAACAACAAACAACAACCAACAGCAGCAGATCCTTGTTGGGACATTTCCATGGTACGACTGCAGGAAAAAGGGCGTGGTCAGAAGAAAAAAAGAAAAAAGAAAACACATTTCTCTCACTCAATAACTCACTCACTCAGATGCATCACCGAGGTAGTCAACAAAAACAAAAAACCCATATTAACAATAAAAAATAAAATAAAAATACAAAAAAGAAATACAGCACAAACAGTGAGCCGAAGAAACGGCACGAAGAGGGGCATGGAAATTATTAGGGTTAGCACAACAAGCATGGAAGCGTGTAAACTTCGGGAAGCGAAACGAAGCAGACGAAGCGAGAGGAGGAGGAGGAGGAGGAGGCGAAGGAGGAGGGGAATGCGGTTGCATCATCAGGAATGGAAGGGAATTGGAAGGTGCGCTGGGATTCTGGGCCCGATGCAGCAGAAGCAGCAGCAGCAGAACCCTCAAAGCTTCGAGAGCAGGGATCCAGAATGTCTGGGTCAAAAGCGGGACGGAGGGAAGGGTTGTGACATGGGTCATGAAGCAATTCGAGAACAGTGGAGAGGAATGTTGTTGAAAGGAGACAATGATGATCAAATGAATGGGGGGCCGCCGGGGGTGGAGTAGCGGTAGAAGCCAAGATGCGGCACAGCGGAGACAGAATAAAACAAAGAAAAGTCGTGAAGAGCCTGGAATTAGGTCGAAAGGGGGCACCTACCCCGCAGTCGCCATAATTTCACGCCCACTGTTGGTGGTTGGCTGGCCCCCCGTCCCCGCTTGCTTCCATGCGCTTCTGTATCGAGTGGGGGAGAATGGCGGTTCAGCGTGAGAGCGAGGTATTGCATTCTGAGCTGTTTCTTTGACTTTTTGCCGCGGTATATAGCATGATATTGTGTGCGGGGACGACTTCGCAGGCTCAATCGCGGATGGGATATTTTTTGGGTGGATGCTGACTCCTCTTTGTTGCATGGCCCGGCGATGTGGTCAAACGCTTTTCCTGGTCTTTGCGTCGTGGACTTGCAGCTCGTTTAGCTGAAGGGAAATGACAGAAGCACGCCTCATCGTGAACCAACACAGGAAAACACGGACACAACAAACAAAATTGGCACTAACTGCATGCATGGTGTTGGGGTAAAGAGAGCGAGAGAGCGCGCGAGAGAGAGCCACTGAACTACTTTCACTTCAAACCCTCATTTCTCATCTTGTGCACCGTTTTCTTTGCATTTGTTGCATCGCTGTGGTTGTTAATCACCAAAGTTGTTCACTTTCATGATGTCTGACAAACCCAGTTTGTTCAAAACTGTTCACTGTAAAGTTTTGTTTACAAAAATTAGTAAAAAAATCCTGACAATTTCATCCTGAAAAAAGAAAAATTCTCTACGTTTTCAGGTGTTTTTTTTTTTTTTTTTTTTTTTTTTTTTTTTCCAACTTCGGATAGATATTCTGCATTAGATTGTACTAAAAATAACAAAACGTCGATGGGGAATGGTTCTGGAATCTGCCCCTTAATTTGATGCCCCACTATTGAGTATTCCTTGCATTGCTTCTTGTGCTCATTGTCTGCAGAGGTTACAGTAAAATTGTTCTGCTGGATGTGCCCTTTCAGTTGTCAAAACAACTTCATTGAATGATGTTTAATATTAAAAAAATAAAATGAAAAATGTTAAAAAATTTGAAAAGTCAAAAATGATCTACTCGGTTGGGTGGTTATTTTGTCTTATTTTTTGGAAGAGTTTCGTTTTTTCCTTCTAGCTGGGAATGAGGCAATCAGTATGTCTCCTGCACTCAAGTATATTGTAGAACAACCTCACTATTACAACTGACAGTCACATGAATATAATTTTTTAAATTAAATTATTTTTTTTTTTGTTCAAGAAAAATTCGGAACTGCAGGGGATGTTTTAACATGCAGAGACCAAAAAGCTGCATTCCCTTCAGCCTCCTCATGGTGCACAGATCTGCCCCATCTTGCAAGATTCACAACTTTGACAACCATACTTTTATTCCATTATTAGTACGATGATTATTATTATTTTGACTTATTTTCCAGATTGTAACAATAACAAAGTGATCCTTTAAGATACTATGGTTGGATTTAAGATATGGGTTCTGAGTCATTTAAGATTGAGTGATGCACATAAAACGGATTGAAAAAAGAAAACAGATATTATTATATTGATCCCTGGAATTTGGTATTTCATTGTGGAATCAATACCTTGAGAAAGGATGTATTTTGTGTGAAAAGTAAACAATGTACATCAAGAAGCCCTTTTACTCACGTTTATTTTTGTATTTGTTTTGTGTACCACCAGAAGCTGTTATGATTAGAGAGGCTTGTCATTATTTTAATTACTCTTATTTGGGTCATGAAGCATGGAACTTCATCTGGTGCAGAAATTTTTGCATAGAAGGTTGTTATATTCAAAAAGCTGGAAACTTTTTTGACCACCAAATGTACATTAGATTCAGTTTTTGCCATGATCCAGTTGGTGAAATCTGTAGGATCAAGATTACACGGCAACTACATAATTGGTTTTTGTAAAATGCATTTAGTGAAGCACATTTTAATCAAGTGTTATTCCTATATTCAAATGAAAATAAAAATCGAATAAATAAAATCTTGCTTTCATTGTTCAAGCAACTTAGTTTGCAGGAGAGGAGGAGAGGAGAAAAAACAGGAGAGGAGAGGCATGGAATATACTTGAAATCAAGCAAGGGAGCTGGGGTCATGGTGTGAGATGCCAAGGCAACAAAATTGCTTTGGACAAAAGCATACTGTAATTTGGTATGCGTATATATATATATATATATATATATGCTTGTGAACGAAATGGTAAAAGCTGGTTGTCAACAAGCAACAATAGTTTGTAGATTTTCTGTACCCAATAGTATAGATGTCCGCTAAAACTCAAGGTAATATGTTCACAAATTCTCACCAGAATTAAAATATGCTGCTCATTGTAACAAAGTACTCCTCCCTCATATCTCAAGAGATAACATCAACACGAAATGTGAACATGAGCACCAGGTAACAACCATGGCTTGATGAGCTACTTCATGATCTGGTCCTTACTAATACATAAGTCAAAGAACTGGCTGTTACATAATAATATTTCCTTAACTTGCGAGGGTCGGCATTGATAGGGGTGGAACATTCATATAATCTTTACTACTGCTGAACACAGATAGATAGATAGAGATATTGAAACACATGCAAAATTCACTGTACGGGACAAATGTAGAGAAGTTAGACACTAATATTGAATCGCACTATCACTTTAAAGTAGTTAGTACAGAACATTAACTGTGATCATCAATGTACCTGTCCGGATAAATTCGACTATGCAAGAGGTGGAAGTCCCAAACCAATCTAATTAAGTGCCTGAAGACTACTCCTTTCTCCACTAACCGAGGTGACTAAATAATTTTTCAACACAGAAATTGATGACACAAAGGAATTAATAACTAGAACCCTCTAATAAAGGATCTCAATACATTCAAATAAAAGAAATAAAAAACAAGCTGGATGGCACAAATTGTTGAGGAGTGAAAATTTTGAATTCGGGATGAATGCCAGGTACGTGCCTTCACAATACATAGTGAACGTAGTTACAATCCGGAAGCAGTACATGCAAGGTTGGTCCTTTTGCATTCATGTTCCCAATCTGTATACATGGTTCTTTACATAGAGTTACATCTCATGATCATAGAAATGGCTTGAATCCAACATGATCCAAAACCTTACAAAACTATCTAGCTTTTCAAGAACGCCTTCAGTGTGAAGATCGGAGGTCCATCCTACAAAAGACAAGCACAGAAAACTTTGAATCAATACCGAAGTAAAGATCACTGCTGAATGTGCATATCAGATGGTGAAAGAATTTCGCAAAATTTTTTGAGAAAAGAAATAAAAAAACAAGGATGATCTGCAGTTAAAAAGAAAAACCCTAACCCCACCGTAGTGAGGATGGCACAAATCCTACTTTAACAGACTCAAAAACAACCTTGCCAAGCTCTTGATGAAGTCGCTGCCTTACAACAGTTGTGTGTTGCAGCAATCTCTCCATTGATGTATAGCTTGGTAGATTAGCATGCGCTGCATCCAAATCACCATCACCACGACATAAGACATTAACAAAATTACCCTGGGCGTTTTTAGGAGGTCAATCGCACAAATATTTATTTTTATGTTTATTTTTGATATTAGATTAATAATTTAAGAAGTGTTATACTTTCACATAAATGAACGTGTGACTGGCATTGTTCGCAACAGTCATGACCAGACGTTGACCGAGCCTACTGGAAGCATACCTAGAACAGCAGAATTCAACGCATCTGCCACGGAATGGCGATATTCGGGAGATAGATAATTAAACATGGGCGAAGTTTCAGGGTTCTCGTATGCAAGCAACGCCATGCAATCCTGCAAGCCACTTCAAGAAAAAGCCTCATATATTGCAATCAGGAATCTGATTCTCCAAGATAGTTCTCAAATACAGACCAGCTCTGCAGGTGATGAGCTGAATTTGATGCTAACCACCACACGAAAGAAGAATTCGAAGACTAGTGATTATACAACACTTCGTTAACATATATACATGTAAGTGCAAAAGATTAACCGTTTGAAGAGAGAACTCCGGAGCTTCAATCAAGAGGAACTGACCTGGAGCTTATCCAGATATCGCCCTTGTTGTTTGCCAAAAGGTCGAAGCTCTTTCTGTGCAAACTCTAGTGCACTCGCACTGCATTTTAAACAAAAAATTAAAGAGTATAATGATAACAGTAATAACAATAGTAATAATACAATTGGTATCAGCCTTCTTGAAATTAGCTACCAACTCAACAAAAACATCCGTACTATTTGATGAGATTAATAAAACTTATTTGAGCCAAAAACTGAACCAAGATTTATCCTAGTAAATCCAGAATTAAAGAAAATTACCATAATCACACGGATAACAATCCCAAATAATGTGAAGCCTTACCAATCCTTGGCTCGAACAAGTTCGATAAAGTGGAGGGTTAAAAGATCAAAATGTACATCCGGATTGGAAGTAAGAAGATCCACAGCAAGCTGATTGGTAAGCTCGATAGCTTTCGAAGCATTGCCTTCCAGAACATGGTTGTAGATTGCTGCATCACAAGCCGAAAATCAACTCAATACATTTACCACATAGCACAGGACAAACAAATTGGTCAAGTAGACGACTCAGGGGTACACCAGAATTTTTTATTACGACGACCCTACAGTGTTGAGTCTATAATTACTCCCTAAGGGTGCAGAATAGCGAGTGGTACCAAGAGGAGCAGATATTGGCAAAACAAAGGAGATTTTAGCGTGATCCTTGAGGCCGACCTACGAAACTCAAGGTGCACCCTCCCAGACTTTAACATGCCAGCTACTGTCACCAACGTGCTTTCTGTGAAATTATTCACCAGGACCAAGCATATAGTCAAACAAGCTACGATATCATGTATTGAAAGCTAGGCACTGCTCGGAAATGTGTTCTGCAAGTAGTCAAGAGACATATGTTTTGGTCATTTCAGACCAAAGTCGCATTATATCAGAGCTGTAACTATCAATTAGAATAACCATTCTAGCAGTGCATAGGAAAACTAGGAAGACATTTTTAAAGGCTCCATATCTGCTCAACATCTACTTACGAGATAAGTTATAATTTTATCAGTTCGAAGTGGCCATGGATTTCGTTCGGCTACATTGCGCCTGCAATGATGAGTCACCATGTAGACGTACAGAACAAATATAAATATAAATATAAAAGCAATCCATCGCGGCATCTGGACTGAAACAGAATGCAGTAATTTGGATAGAAAACACACGTTTCCTCTTGTCGATATCGACAGAGCAGTCGGCCGTGCGCTTCATGCCAGAGCAGGCAATGAAGGTCTCCGCTGTCTCTTTGAAGCAGTTGTGAACGAGATACGACAATACAATCTTGCGCACCTCGCCGTCGCTCACCTTCTGATCCAGTACCCCAACAGATCTAAGCAATTCTGAAAGTCTGTAATGCTAATTCACTACTTCAAAACTCAACAAAATTCTAGTCCAAGACAATTCGCAACAGGTCAATGAGATCCAAGAATGAACAAATAGATGCACTCATGACAGAACAGCTCAATCGCACGCACTATCTCTACAATGCTCTGTTCGGTTAACGAGAGAAAGTCAGTGAAATAAATGAAAGCCTTACTACAAAATGAACTCTCTTCCTTTCAAATAACAGATGTTGGATACTGCGATTATAACTAGAACGACTTTCACACCCACTCTCACGAACCAAAACTAAACTATAAACCTGCAAGTCAATACTTAGACAGAGACAGGCAAAGAATGCACCAAAGTCATACCACATTTTCAAAAAGGCGAGGATCTACATCCATCCCTCTCCGGTTCTTGCGATTCCTCCACCTCCGGAACCTGAAACGTTCAATGACAACGGTGCGACCCTCTACCAGCTTCAAGAAGCTTCAACCCTAAGTTCTTCTCTTCTCACAAAATTAGACTCCAGACTGCTAAATTCTAGCTTAATCCACAGAGATCAGCACTCTCACACACTACTACACAGACAAACCAAAATTCTGACAAAAAGAACAGCGCGGATTCCCGACGATAGCAATCGCAATTTACGGCACCTTCCGACAAAGATTCCCCGCAACCCTAACCCTTTTTATTCTTTCAAGTGAGGGAAGCATGGACAAAGCACAATAAGGCCAAAGATTCCCACCAAAGACAACTCAGAGAAGTGCGGAAAGGCGCAAGCCAAGCACAGAGGGAATCGGAGCATGGAGGAACATGGCGACGGGGGGGGGGGGGGGGGGGGGGGGATCCAAAAAGAAGGAAGGAAGGAAGGGGGGGGGGATACATGCACCAGGATGCGTCGGGACTCGAAAGCGATGATGGAAGGGAGGGGAAGGGGAAGGATTCGAAATTGGGGAAGAGGGACAAACGCACGGGGTCAAGGTTTATCCTGACGCTGTCGCGCGGTCTTTCTTAAACCATGGTTCCCAGATTCCATCGCCACTTGCCTGACGACGTTATTGCCGCTTCCTCTTCCTCCTCCCCCCCTTGGTTGCTTGCTCGATTCGGGCTGGGGTGGTGCTTCGCTTGCTTGCTTGCTGCCTTGCCTGCCTGCTTCCTACGCCGCGCGGTTTGCTTGTCCACTCATCAGGTGTGCGTGCGTTGGTTCTTTTTGAGTTCGCGGTCCTTTCTGGGTGCTTCTTATCCCATCCTCGTTTCATCCTCGTTTCATCCAATGGTTTCCGTTGGTTCATGGGATTTTTTCATGATGTATATTGGTACACTGCAACAAGTTTTTTGTTTGTTGAGTTTCAGAATATGGATATAAACTTCATTTTTTTGTTATCTTTCTAAATTTTATATTCTATAACTAAACTTGGTAATGTTGATACAATTGTTCATGTGCTATGTGTTTCATCTTTATTGTGATTTTACTTTTTAAAAATATTTAATTCTTTTGAGTTATTATTATTTTTTCTTCTTATAAATAAATTAAGTACATTTGGAAGTGATTTTTTACAAATTCAATAAAGAATTATTTTCAGAGATATTGATATATCTTTAGTAATTTAGTTATAATTAATTTTTTTTTTATTCTTCAAAAAAAATCTAACACATTATAAATGGTGTAAAGTTTTATTTTCTTAAATATATATGCATCAAAAAATACTTTTTGTATTAATATGGTGTATATATGTATATATATATATGTATATATATATATATATATATATATATATATCTATTTTTTTAAGGTAACAATTCAAATAATATTTAAATAATAAAAATTATAAAATAAATAAATTTCTATGATAGAATAAAATTTACTTATTTTTTTGATTTAAATTAATTAATTTAGATTGGCAATTTAATTGAATCTAAAATCAAAAATACATAAACTAAAGTAATTAAATTTAATTAGTCATTTTATGGCTTTTAATAAACTATCAACTAGTCAAGATTTATTTTAACTCATAGACTATAAGAAATCTAATCTATTTAAGGATTATATCTTTTTAGACATAAAAATCTAAAATAATTAGATTAAAAATAAATTTAATAATATTAAATATTACTAAATTATTATGACTATTTATTGTTACATCTTTGTATAAAAATGGTTTCATGGATAATATCTCTAAAAGACATCAAACAACCATTTATGACTTCTACATACATATGTTTAGTTTTTTTTTACTAGAATTTTTTTCTGTGTTTTAAAAAAATTCTTTATCTAAAAAATAAGTTGTAGTTCTTAAATCTATTAAAGCAGAGACTTTGTGATTTTTAGATCCTAAACAAACATCTATTATAAAATAGTTATCTAGACAATATGAATAGATATAAGTAGATAAAAGTAGATTAATTTGATAATATTTTATAGAAAAGCTTCCTAGAAGCTTCATAGATGTGATTTCACCTTTATACATGTTAATAAGTGATTGATAGGTTAGAAACTTGGCCAATAAGTTAGCCACATATCATATATATTGATAGCTTGTGGTATAAGCTTACAATAAGGCATACATATAAGAAACTTGCCTTACAAGTTAAGACATGTGTCTTTCAAATTGGACATGTATTGGAAGTCTTATAAAATTTTGCCATGTAGCTCTTAGGTAGATAGTATATAGAAGCAAGAGTAAAGCCTTCTATACTCGTCAATTTTTTTCTTGCTTTTAATCTAGTTTCAAGAGTCTCTGATTTTTTAATCTTTCATAATAGCTATTCTAGTTTCATATTAAATATATTTATTTTCTTATTTTTACCTTGTTATCTCTCTTTGATTCATTTTTCACTTATTTATATATCTTTTTTGAATTCTTGTCTTTGACAGATTGATAAGAGTCCTAATTCATTGTTCTTATCTTATTTTTAAAAGTGAGTGGATTATCTGACTTCTATTGTTGTGTTTTGAAGGTTGCAAATTATCCATCTTGAATTAACATTTACTTTTTTGACATTAATTTTTTCTTCAAAGAGTATGAAATTTCTTTCTTTGTAAAAATTTTTATTTGATATTACAAGTTGTAGATTATCCTCTTCTAATTTGACTTATAGATTTATTAAGTTATTTGAATTAGACAAAAAAATCATAAATGATATACTTAAAAATAGTGATAATAGATTTGTAACTATCACAAATCTTCACGAGCTTATCAAAATTCTTAGGATGGAAATTTCATGCATCACCAATACTAGCTATAGAAGTATTATTTCTATACATATGGAAGAAGTTTAAAGTCTACACCGAGAAATTATGGAGTTGAGAGGAATAAGTAGATTAATCTTATAAACAAATCTATAAAGTCTTATTTTTATAAGCATGAGAGATAATTTTCATTTGATATATTCAAATAATAAAGATTAGTATGTCCAAAAAATTTGATAAAAGAAGATAATATTTTTGAAGATTTCTGCAATAAATTAGGCTCTATCTAAGGTTGCATCATTTTCAATATCTTGATGGATTTACTCAAGTTGGATTCATAAACATACTTCTATCTAAAAAACTTCTTTTTTACTTTGCATCTTTGATTAAAAAAGATTTATTACTTCTTTATGATTTGAATTCATTCCTAAAAGTGTTTATACTTACATTAAGAGAAAGTGATTAAGAAAGAATAGCAAAGATCAGCTCTTATTTTTACAACAAGGAGCATAATGAGCTACCATATATATTATTAAATTCTAAAATCTCACTTACAACATGCATTGAAATGACAAAACTTTTATCAATTAATTTTGATAAGGATTAAAGAATAACATCAAAGATTTATTATTGATAATATCAAAAGCAAATTCTTAGAAATAATTTATTGCTCAAGGCATTACATGCAATAATTGATAATTTTAATGACATCAAGAACAAAGACTTGGTTGGAGAAAAATAAATCAAGTAATATCAATAATCCTAATTATTCAGAAACTTATTCATCAAGGCCAAAACCAATGCAAATTGATATAATATATTTTAAACCTTTCATTTAATAAAAAAAGATTCAATGTGTCAAGGACACAAATTTGAAAAAGATGTATAAACTTGTGAAATTTGTGTCAAAAGAAAAGTGACAAAATAGAAGAAAGCATGTATATTCAAAGAAGAACTGGAATAGCTATTGCCAAAGACTAGAAAATATAAGATTCTTAAAAGTAAACTAAAAGCAAGAAAAGAGTTGATAAGAATGAAGAGGGCTTCATTCTTATTTTTATATATACTATCTAACTAGAAGCTACGTGGTGATGTTTTATAGAACCTCCAATATGTGTTGACTTTGTAGGATACATGCTTTGACTTATAAGATAAGTTTTTCTATGTGTGGGCCAAATGGTTAGCTTGGTCTTCAAGCTGACAACATGTGTGGCATATGGCCAATTTGTTGACTACGTTTTTAATCCAAAAAGTCAATTATAGACACCTATAAAGTCAAAGTATCATCTATGAAGCTTCTAGAAAGCTTTTATAGAAGATATTATAGAATTAACATACTTTTATCTAGTTCTACTTACTTCTACCTATTTATACAGGTAATTATTGGCTTACATGTATATGTCCATGACATTACCCCTTGTTCTAGGGATGAATTCTATGAAGAGCAGTCATCATATGTTGAAAAAATTTATAATGCAACGAATTATATTTACTGTATATTCTGATCTTTATTCTCTTCGAAGATGGTTGATAGGGCCTCTCAACTATCAATAGTATTCTATATCAGGAAGAGAGGCCCACCTTGTTATTTGATCGTTGTTGAGGCTTTCATAACTTTCTTCAAATAAAATATTTGAAACACCGTCAGAAGTTATTTCTACCTCTAATAAAATTATCAAACATCGAGAGTCTCTCTTAAGGTTGTGATACCAAACGCGTTGTATCTTGCCATCTATTTGAGAAAAAACATGTCATTCTTGAGGATCTTCATCTCGATTACATCATCTTAAAGGTTGTGACAATTGCAATGTTTTGTTTGGTAGGTTAGTAAACAAAGGCTCCTGAGTTGAATCTGTTGGCTATTGATTTTCCATCTCTTTAGCATCATGAATATACAAGAACTATAAATAAGTATAGAAGGTAGAATGTTATCTTACCTAGATCTTATTTCTTTTATAAAAGAAGTCTTCATGTTGGTTTTGATGGATGTTGTCAATGAAAAACTTCTACCTTTCTTGCTGCATTTACAAGATTCTTTGCTAGCTTCCATGTGCATTTGCTAATATCATATCTGCGCCAATGAATAAGATATTTCAACCTATTTTGGTACTACCTTGAATCAAAAATTTCTTCTACCTCAAATTCTTTATTATTATCTAATTCTATAGGGAGAAGTGGCACTTATCTTCTTCTCAGTATATTTACGTTCTTGTATGATTCGAGAAGAGATACATGGAATACAAGATGAATCTTCATTTACTCTCATAAGTATAATTGATACACAATTGGATTGACTTATTTAGAAATAAAAAAAAGTCCAAATCTATAATAGTCCAATTTATCATAAGGACGAGTGGTCTTGATATTGTGATGAAATAATCATACCTTATTCCTTATGTTGAATTATGAATGTTTCTTTTGATAGACATCTGCATTCTTCTTTTGTCGTTCTTGAGCTTCTTTTAACTATGTCTTCATTATTGCAAATAACTTTAATAAACAATCTGCCAAATCTCCCATCGCAGGATTATCAGCTTTTGAAAAGTCAAAAGTATCAAGTTGTGGATGATAAACCATAATTGACAAAGAAAGGTGTTTGTTTTGTAGAAGATTGAATTGTATTATTATAAGCAAACTCTGTCAATGACAAAA